GGAAAATGTCCCTCCCAAGCAAAGAAAGCACTGGTCCCACGGCTTATACAACTCATAAATTGGTCATGCAGCCTAATGGATCTCCAAGTATAATAACATCCTCCATTTCTCTTCTGTTGCCTCTCCCTACACATTTTTCTCTCATGAGAGGGGAGTATTAGTTTGCAGTCCTGAGCAAAGTTCAGTGTGGGCAATTACATTTTGCTGACATAACCTACCATGGCAGTGGAATGCTGCATCCTGCACCAGTGGCTCTGAACTGTTGCACGATTCTGGCACATGTCAGGGGGCTGTGCTCCTCCCTTGAAATGGCTGCACCTSTGGCTGGAAGATGCAATGCCCGTGTCTCTGCACTGTGCAGAACAGCYAGCTCTGGACAGAATTTGGCATTTAAATGCAAAATGGAGATTATACAGCAGAGTCAAAACATTTAACAGCAGCATTTTGAATTTCAAAACTGTATGAAAGATCAGTTTTAACCTTTGAATAGAGTTCAAAAGATGTCCCTTAGCACACTTCCACTTTTAAATAAACAGGAGAATCAAGGGCCCTGACATTTCCAAAGCTCAAAACACCGGTTTGTTTTCCTTACATAAATACTTTGAATCTCAGCAACTGTCTACAAAAGATAACCATAGAATTTGTCATAGTAAAATGTGATYTGCTGATAGATTTAGCTTGCAGTTTTACAGCACCTTTGGGGAGCTTTGGTCCATTGAATAGAAGAATTTGGATGTATTTTGAGCTCTAAGGACACGTTCTTCCCCTCAACATTTTTCGTAAATGTCATTGAAGATGCAGTAGCCATGCAATAAGTGAGAAAAGCAGCTGCCTTACCGTCAGGCTGAATTAGAATCATAGTGTGAATATACTTAAGTGACTCAGCAGTAACTAAGTGAGTATTTGGGATCTATTCTCCCCGGGTAGTGGTCATGTAATTCCCCTTCATCTACATGGGAATTGAGCATATGTTTTAAACAGAAATGTGCAGTGATGCAAACCCTTCAAAGAGATTTTTTTCTTGAGAGAAAAGACACTGACATAAGTTTTCTGTTATCTTCTGTTATTCAGTTGTTTGTGCTATTAAAATACACATTATTTTCAGGTTAGAGAGAATGAAAAACCACCTTTTTTCCCCTCAGAGTGCCAAGWGGCTTTTTACCTTTTCATTTGCTAGTGACACAGTATTAACAGCCCCATGTGTGTAAATAGAGCTTATTAGAATATTGACACCTTTAAAAGGCAGTTTGGAAAAGTAGGAGTGGTAGTTTTTGGAACTGGTTTATCACACAATCACAGAATCAATTAGGTTTTGAAAAGACCTCTCAGATCACATAGTCCAACCTATATTAATTTAGATTTAGTACATTTTCTTCCCCACGGACTGACAGAGAGTGACCACACACCTTTTGCTATTCACCTCTGAACTGGACAATGCTGCTTTCCAGACTTTCACCTTACCAGTTCCTCTTTCTCATATCTCTAATAAAAAGTGTCCCTGTGGGAGTGGGTATTAGTTCATACTCTAGATAGAGCAGAAATGGTGAGAAAACCTGATGCATCTGGAGAAAGATAAGGTATTTGCCCAGAAGATGGAAAGAGCCACATCTGGCAGTGGTGGCCGTTGTCTCCTTCCACAATTGTGTAAATACATTAGGGTGGTTTGGATYTGTATGGCTGGGATCCATACGGTCCATCCCATGCACGCCCATYCTGTGAAAGCCACTGCTCTGCCAGGCGGGTGGTAAAGCACAGGCAACATCACACAGGGGACAGAAAATACAGAGTCATGAACAAAGAAAGTCAAAGAAAAATAAAGAACTATAAGTGAAAGAAATAATATTGGTTTTTTTAGCCTCTTGTGCAAGACACGAATGTCAGGATTAACTGACTGCCATTATGTAATGCAAAATAGATCTATCACACAACCTCTGCGTGCGGGGTTTGCATGTAACTCCTACTACTGAAGCAGCAGTAGAACGCATGGTGTTTCTTTGTCAAAGACATAGATACGTATTTCTATTGCTTAACCATTTTTTCTTGGGTTTTTTTTTTTTTTTTTTTTTTTTTTTTTTTTTTTTTCATATAGTTATGGCCCTGGGCTGGGAAAAGTATTCATGCTCTTCTCTCCAGTGCATATATTTTCTAAGGACAGCACCACTCTTATGCATATGCAAAAGTGCATGCTTTACATATTTACTTTCTTTAAACAAAAGAGTGTGCCCGCCACATCATGTACTGCTTTCACTTCTGTGCATATTCCCCCAAATTTATCATCTTCTCATATTTAGAATGTAATTCTCACTCAAATCACAAGCAGCCAGCTCCTCTTAATAACAGTTATTCCAGAGATAACAGCTAATTATGACATTTCAAAAGCCATGCATTAATATTTCAGTAGGCTCAATGTTTTGAAATACTACTCAGGGCAACATCTTGGTTGCTTTTGTGGAAAACCTAAGGATCCATTCAGCAAATAGGCAGTTAAAACATCCTTCAACATACAAACCCTCGCAAACACTTTCTACAGTGTCTTCTGTTCATCATAAGCCACAGTTTGGAAAAAAAACAGCTTTAATGGATCCCTTCTTAATGTAATTAAGTATATTTAATAATAGTATGCTTCAGAGTCCTCAAATTAGTCCTTTGCCTCAAGACAATGAATTCATCCAAATCCCGCCCTAAAACATTCTTATTCTGTAAATCCTATTAGCTTTAATCTGCTAAAGTTAGGTGTGCATTATAATTTTTTTTCAGATACCTGGAAAGCTTTGAGAGCTACTGCTCATTCAGCAGCTTATGGTTCCAAMCACTTCTGGAGGTCTAACTTAGCCTGGAAACTTTGAAGGGTTCATGCCACYTTGCCTTGGACATCCTCAACTCAACAGCACTATAGGGAAAAGAACAAAGTGGAGGATTTACTGTAGGATGGCACTAGCAAGGGTGTGGTAAGAGGGGACAAAACTGAGACCAAAACCCAACTGTGTACTATAAATGCAAAGGAGAGCAGGGATAATTCACCTCTCCTTTATCACTTCCACAGAGCATTTTGTTCCAGAAACAATACAGACTTTTATCTGAAAGTCCTTGGATGACCGATCCCATTTAAATTCAGCCTAAGCCTCTGCAGGCTGGAGTGAGGCCTGACCATGCTGTGAGGCAGAGGCAGCAGGGACCCCAAATATTTTCCAGCTCTAAAAATGCATGGTCAGATTATTGTTTCAAAAGGAAGATTAGCACCTCTCTGAATTGAAGTCAAATGCATGCACAAAAAGCCAGGAAAGTGGCTTTCTGTTTCTCCCTGAGGTGCATGCAAGTCTTTCTTGGAAGATAGTAGCCACATTTTCCTTTCAGGTTTATCTCACAAGCATGTGAAAGGCACTTGGGGCTTCCCAAACCATCAATTAAATGCTGTGAGAATTTGTACAAGTTAACAAGGGGAAGAGGGAGTTATTTGAGGATTTCTAAACTATTTTAAGCAGGAGCATGGAAAGATTGCTGAGTACACATTTTTAAATCTTATTTCAAGCATTTAAAATCTTTGTCCGAAGATCTCACTGCTAGATTTAGCCTGGTCAGACAAAACAAGACAGCAGGGCTGCTGACTTTAATTTGGATTTGGAAAGAGTGGTGTTGCCTAGCCTYGCCTCCCAAGCCAGGAAATGTCTCCTGAGGAGAACCAGTAGGGCTGACACTTCAGCCTCCTCTCCCTCAARGCTACCAAGTTGTGAAGGGTTTACAACGTTTTAGAATGGCTTTTCTGTTTGCCTCTGCCTGACCCGATGGATAATCATTCCCCACAGCACAGGAACTCTACTGGGGGAAGTGTGCCAAGGGGAAAGCACTGGGGCTGGCAGGTTGGCTATTCCCACCAGAGACCAGGGTCACCATGGGGGGCTTCTGTCCTTTGTCTTTAATTCGTGGMGGTCTTTCCTGCAAGTGGAGGAGCACAGCGGCTGGCATGGACAGGGCATACACACAGCTAGAGGCTCTATTTTGGAATTGGCTTACCCCAGGGACTGGCCTGAAGTTGTCTCAGGAGAGGTTTAGATCGGGTAACAGAAAAAAAGATTCTTCACCCAGAGGGTGGTTGGGCACTGGAACAGGCTCYCCAGGGAAGTGGTCACAGCACCAAGCCTGACAGAGCTCCAGAAGCATTTGGACGATGTTCTCAGCACATGGTGGGACTATTGGGATGTTCAGTGCTGGGCAAACAGTTGGACTCGATAATCCTTGCAGGTCCCTTCCAACACAGGATATTCTGTGATTCTGTGGCTTGGGGTGGCTGCTGTGCCCACCACTCTCTCCCGAGGGCACAGCACCTGCGCTGTGCTACACACCGAGKCCCCGTAATACCAATATTATGCCTGATACGAGGAGCGCTGAGGCTGAAACTTCGCCCCGGGCCGGCAGGGAAGAGAAGCGCCGGGAAGAGCTGGGATTGTGCCCGCTCCGCGGCCAACGGGCGGCGGCAGAGGCGCCCCGACACCGCGGCTGGAGAGTCCCCGGCCCTGGAGCCCCCGACCCGTGGCAGCCCCGGGGCGAAACGCGATACGCCCCCTCCCCGCTCCGGGGCGCTTTCCCCGGCCCAGCCCCGAATCGCGAGCGTCCCCCYCTTCCCGAGTCTTTCAGCGTTCGCCAGTTCTTTCTCCGGGCGCTTCCGCTCCCAGCAGGRCAGCATCTCCGGGAGCGCCGGGTCTCCCGGGACGGAGGGGCACCAGGGAAGGGGGAGGAGGTGTCAGGGCGCTCCCGTCGGGCAGRGCCCCCTTTGCCCCGCCCCGCGGTCCCGGAGAGGTCCTCCCGCTGAGGGGAGGGAGCCACCCAGGCTGTCCCTGCCCGTCCTTCCTGCGCTCGGGCGGGGGAGCAGCGGTCCTCCCGGCGGGCAAAGGGGAGCCCGGGGAGCTCCTCCCGCGCGATCCCGGCAGCGGCAGCGGCAGGAAGGGCAGGGCGGGGGCGGGGGCTGTGCCTGTGCCGGGGGGGCGGTTCGCGGAGGAGGGGCCGCAGCCGCCGCCGCCGGGCGCAGCAGGCAGAGGGAAGGCAGGGAGCGGAGCTGCCGCCGCCGTTGCCGCCGCCGAGGGCCGGGGCCTTGGACGCGTCCGGCGAAGAGCGCAGGAGGAGAAGGAAGGGGAAGGGGGGGAGCCAGCCGGCCCCTCTCGGAGGACGCGGCCCGCATCCGCCCGGGGAAGGGCAGAGGGAAGCGGAGGGGGGAGCGAGCGGGCGCCGCCGCTGCCGCCGAGGAGACAAAGAAGCGGAGCCCGCCTGGGTTGGGAGCCTCCCCGCCGCCGCCGCCTGCCCCGCTCCGCTCCCCGCCGGCCGGCCGGAGGTGAGCGCTGCCGCGGGCGGGACGGGGCGGGGGCTGGGGCCCGCCGCAAACTTGTGGCGGCCGCGGGGGGCGACGCGGGGAAGGGGCGCAGGGAGCGGGGGAAGGGCGGGTGTCACTTGGGCGGCCGAGGCTCCGCGGCCGCCCCGCACAGGGGGGGCCGTACCTGCCGGGGGCGGCACGGGGGGCCCGGAGCGGGAGGAGGTGTTTGTGTGCCACGTCCAGTTGCGGGGGGGAGGGGGGGGCTCGGGGTCGGCTCCTCCTCGTCCTCCCGAGTTACTGCTTGTGTGTGTGTGTGTGTGTGTGCGTGACAGCCGCCGCTTTGTGCCGCTCGGCCGTGGGGCAGCGCCGGCCCGGGATACCACCCCCCACACCCCTGCGGGGCTCCGGTGAATGGAGGCGGCGTATCCGGCGGCCGCGGGGCAGCGGCGGGGGAAGGACGGGCAGCGCCTCCCGGCCGGAGCGCGGCGCAGCCCGAAAGTTTCCCGGGCGGGAGCRGGAACCGGGAGCGGGAGCGCCGCCGCCCCGTACGGGCACCGGCGGGGACATGGCCCTCGGCCCGCTCAGTTCTTGTTTCTTTCCGTCACCGACTTTCGACTTTAGTAAAGCTGAGGCCGGGGATTTTTTCAAGGAGCGCGGTTCACTGTGGCCCTGGTCGGTGCCAGTAAAGGACGTAAAGGTAAAATTACACCTCATGTACTGAGTGTTCAGTGAAGCGTATCCTTGCGTGTTTTGGGAAGAAAATTACTGAAGTTTGTAAGTATTCTCGCCCTATTTTTAATTAATAATATGCCCGGGATGACAGCTACCCCATGCTGGTGGGGTAGGCGCTTTGGCCAATCTCAGATCAGGTTGTCAGATCGGGATTCAGGTTTGTAATTCAGGTCTGACCTGCACCTGTCTGATCATGAGTGCTCTCGGCTTTAGTTCATAAGTTAATATCTTCCACTCTTTTTTAATGGTGAATGTGGCCCTTTATGTGTATCAGGGTTATTCCGTGAATTCCATGTAGCATTTCACTCGAAACTGTCATGTTTTTGTAAAACAAAATGAAACCTTTTGTTTTTTTTAAAGTTGAATTGTGACGGAAAGTCGGCAAGAATTTAAAGCGTTCTTCAGCTTGAACAGCATTTCTTCCCATGAAGCATTTTTATTTCTGAGGAATATACTGCTACTGTTCTAGCAGCTCAACGTGGGAGAACTAGACTTCTCGTTCATGAAATTGGTTAGCGGCCTTTGTAAAAACAAATTTTCATGGCCTAACCACGCGTGGTTTGTATCATCAGGAGTTTGGACTGGTAACTTAATATGGAGAAATTTGAAAGGACTCACTGGGTAGGAGATTATGAAGAATTTCTGTTTGAAAGTACTTGTTTTGCCACTGCTTTTTAGGGATCTGAAGCAGTCAGCAGCACATGGATACTGTGTTTTCATTTTTAGGATTATATTTCTGAAGTAATGTTGCTTCTCTGAATTACTGATTTCACAACTCTGGAAATCAAAATCCTCTGTCTTGCCCAAGTCTGTTAGGAAGTTAAGCAGATCGCTTTGTCTTTGTAACTGACTTTCTTCTCGTGACTTTGACCGAAGATGTCACTTTTGGGAACAGTGAATAAATGTAGCAATAGAAGGCACCTGTACCATGAAGATCAAGGCTGTAATTAGCAAATATTTTTATATAGGCCATGAAATAGATAGATTCATTATAATGTTAGCTCTTGTTGCTGTTGTTCTGTCATTGCAACATTGGCTGTTGCATTTGCCTCCTAGCTCTACCAGGTCACATTTCCGATTGCTTTTATGAAAAAAAAAAGTTACACAACATCTCTTTTGCTATATTTTTCCAAAACTAATGTCAGTTAGTCCTTGATAGTCTGGATGATCCTTTTATTACATCCTTGTGAYTGAATGCATGATAAATTCAGAACTTCAGCTTTCGCCTTGCTGCTGCATAGAAAGGGAACCTACCTCCTTCATCTCTTTTCTTCTCTAGTTTCCTGGCTAGCCGTCTGGAAGCTTAAAGAAAGGTGTTTGCTCTCTTCTCTGTCACATCGCATCTTCTGTTAGCTAAAGAAGAAGGACAAGGTCAGCGGTGTCTGTTGCTTTTCCAATCTTTGTTTTTTTGTGCCGTGTGTTGCTGTTGGTATGTTAATCCTTTGCAGCACTCATGGCTTTCCTCAGTAGAAATTATAACAGTAGCGACTCGAAAAGTGATACCCAGACAGTTCTGTTTGCTGGTTGTGGTCTTGAGCAGCAGCAAAACTACCCAGAATATCTGCATTTTTCATGCTCCTTGAGCATAAAAGCTGCTTCCAGACTTATGGAGACAGGTGCTGTATCAATTTACTTGCCGCAGGTTTGAAATCAAAACCAAGGCATCTTTGAATGCAAAGCTTATGTTCTAGAAARATATCTTCTGTTTGCGTTGAGGGACTGCTGGTTTCTAAACTGTGGCCATTCCTCACCCCCCACTCCCACTGTGTTTTGAGGAGGGAGGATTGCTGGTGTGGATTTATTAGAGGTGTTTGAAGGAGTTTTTAGTTAGCTGAAARCTGTGAAACCAGATGCTGCCGTGTTTTGGATAGTTTAGTCAGACCAGGGTGAGGTGCTGGGTGATTGTTGCTGGACACCCTGCCCCCCCAAAGTAGGTCATCTGGCACGTTGAAGAGGTGCAGAGTTGAGGCATTCTCCAGGAGAGCTGCTTTCTGCTTCTAATGAAATAATAAAGGCACTATGTCCTCATATTTACTAGGTATACAGGAATGTTGTAGAACAATAATTTCCAAGGAGTGGAAGTCAAGATTTCTTGCTAGTGAAGTGAACTGAAGTGAACGATGTCAGAAAGAGCTGGAATGGTGTTTGTAATGTGGGAAATAGCATTGTTTCTTCGTCCTGAGGTGGAGAAATGAGGTCTCCACTAATCATTTCACCTGTGCACCAGTTGTCCAGTTTTTTGAGAAAGTTACKGCAGGAGATTCTGTTTGTTTTGCTTTGCAGATTTACGCATGTTGGCCCAGGAATTGTAAAGTTATTTCTGGTTTTGGTAGTTCCAATTTAATTTTTTTTTGCAAATTAATTAGGCCCATTAGTTTTCTCATAATAGTGTAGTCATTGATGTTCTGCCCAATTAAACTGTTGCTCTGTTCAGTGGTGGGTAGAATAATTCTTCCAAATGTTAAGTTTTTGTGTTTTGGTTATTTTTTTCCTTGAAGTAATCTTTTTTTTCCCCATCATAAGGATTCTTAATTGTTTCATAAATGCTAATGACATGAGTAAGTTGAAAGTGCATTGAAATATGAAAAACYGATTTTTATATTCAATTAAGTGTATGTGACACATTAATTTGTTTCTCGCCATTAATGAAGTGACTTTGTATTTTAAACCCAGCATAAATAATAACTGTATGCAATGAGGTGGCCTGACAGTGTACATTTTCAAGCTTTAATAGAGTATTGCAAATTTTAAGAATTCAGATGCAGAGGAATARATCTTGATTAGAGAATAGCAACCTATTGCATTTTAAATTACTGCAGCTCTACACAAAACCCTGGTGTCTACTGTAAAGTTTTAGAAATACTCATGCTAAGAAAAACATTGGAGTGGAAGCTCAGGTGTGCTGGTATAGCCTGTATTTGTTCGCAGTTATAGAAACAAACTCTGTGGCTTAGAGGCTTTTTTGCACTGCAGGTTTGCCATGCTGGTTTTGGTGCTGATCTCATTATCCAGTATTAATATGGTGGCATGTAACTGCTGTTGATTCTTTGGTGGAGCAGACAGTGTGGTGAACATGCTGGCACACTTAGCAGATCCCCAAATTCTCAGAAGTATTGTTTCTCTCTTATAATTGTGACAAAATACAGGTGCAAAATAAAATGCTATACAGGTGTGTTCTTACCTTACCCAATTTTCCTCAACTCGTGTTGGTTACTGTCTGCAGGGTACACACAACCATTGAAACAGATGTGCAAACAGTGARATAGACCACAGATAGAATATAGCTGAAACTGTATTAGACAAAAATGGTAGATGTAGTATGTTTACAAAATCAGGTAGTAACTGTCTTARGCAACCTCCTTTTTAAATTTTTTTAAATGAATGAATTTAAATACAAAGTTTATTTCAAATAAGATGTTTTATCAGGAAAAGAARTCTAGTTAGGTAGCCAGTTGTGTTTCTGCAGATTGTGCCGTTTGGATAGGTGGGGCACTGGTTTCCTCTTCTCTTCAGAGATATCTGTTGCGTGGTGCTTGGTGGTGAGGTGGATGGTATTTGATGTGCCAGGGCTGGGCTGATTAGCTGAGATGGATCAATAACCAAAAATCAACGAGTAGGCCTTCTGTTTATTACCTATTTGATAGAAAGGCAGATTTTAGCCTTCTGAGCYATTTGAAGTTTCTACATTGCAGAAACGATCAGAGTGTTTGTGAAGGCCTTAATAAAGAGAAGTGACACGAGTACAAAAGCAGGTACTGAGTTTTTTATGGAGAAGCTAGAGGCTGTGGGTGCTCTTTCTGATGCAGGGTCACGTCCTCTTACGATGTGAGAAGCTGCTTTTAGCTGAGTGCTGTCTCTTGCCTGTTTTTCCCTACAGGTTACACTGAATTGGCTCTGTGCAAATACAGAGGAGCCATCAGACCCTGTAGGAGAAATGGAAGAGGGTTAACAAAGCAGGTGCTTTTTGCTCGTGCTGGGGTGGCATTATTGGTTCTGCTAGCATTTCATTATTTTTAAGAAAATAGAAACAAGCTCTTGAAAAAAAAGTGTCAGTTTCTCTTTTCATATTTAACTATTGTACTCATTTATATTATTTTTAAAAAGTCATTGAACATTGTTTTGGCACCTTTCCTTCAAAATAAGATTAGATCCTTKCAAGGGTGGGAATGTTTATTTGAAGGAATGATGGTATTCATTAAGCATATAAACTATAAATGAAACATATTAGGATTTTCGAATTAGTTGGCTAAAATAATGCTTTTTGTATACCAATTAAGTATTAGTTAACT